TAGCATTTTTAAGCCCAAGCTGAGGAAAAAAGAAGCTCGTTGATTCTAAAAAAACCATAAAAACTGTTTGTTAATAGGATCTCCTTCTTATGTAGAAAGAAGGACTGCAAAGTTGATGCGGACTTTTCATTTGCCTTACTCATCTGCAAATCGCAAAGAACGGAACTGATTACATCGTGGCGCCTTGCACTATAAAAGACCTGCGCCTCTCAGATAATTTGTTCAATTTTTTACAGATGTTTTACTGTGCAAAATTATACACTATTTCTATGCCCAATTTTATTACTTCTGCTGTTAGTAAGTGACGGCTTTGGCGTCCTTTGAGTACAAAAGTTGGGAACAAGTGACCAGTGATAGTTTCAAGCAGAGGGTCATGTAGAATTAACGTCTCGGGCAAAAAAGTCGAAGATAGTTTCCTCCTTTAATTTCTTACTACGTTGCTCACTTCTACCGCACTTTTTAAGACTACGCCCTCTGCTGAAGTTTGACTGGCACCATCCGATATGCGACCAGTCCTTCATAAATATTTATTTGGAAAATGGAAGCAGTTTATTTGTCAAATGTCCACATATCTACTAAAATAAGTGCATCCATGATGGGATCTATTAAGTCGCATTCGCCGTTAATTCACGTATAAAGCATACGCGTTGTTGGTGCAGAGAACTTTGAAAGGTTTTAAACCTACTAAAATTAGAAAATTAATGCATAGCTTAAGTAACTTAATTTACAGTCTTCAGCCACTATGGATCAATTCACACCTTAAAAGGATATGCGAAACGTGTGTGAGGCTCGTAGACGGGAACCGCGGTCATGACGAGTATGCCAAGGGGCCCAAATAATGGGGTATTGCCACTCCTATAATTGCACATGTGGATTGCTTCAGTCAATGAATCTCATCTTTTGAAGTTATGAAACGTTGTCATTAAGGCAGTTGCAAGCATACTGAATCACAAAACAAAAGGAAACCTTGATTAAAGAGACATATATCGGCTACACTATAAAAAGGACAACAAAAAGCACACTATCTGTGGGTAGTGAGGTACACATAACCTGAAGCCCTTTCCCTTAAAAGTAACAGCCTGCAATTGTCGCTTGCGAGTGTGCAATAACGCTTCCTGTGCATTGCTTCGGTCCACTCGAACCAAAACGACCTATAAGTAATGTTAACTCCCGGTCACTAGCTGGACTTCAAATAGCAAGAAATTTATTTGCCTCACCATATACGGGATATTAATTGCACAAATCGGAACTTCCCTTGTGGCTGTGCCATCTAGTTTATAAAGGCAAAAAATAGAACTTTCTTTTATTTGATTGTCGACTCTTATGCATGAATTAAAGTCGACCAAATTGTTTCGTGAATCGCACTACAAGGCATAGCGAAATGGACAGAATCCTCCTCTATTTTGACTTAACCGAGAAAAAGAATTCGCTGAAGCGAGTACATCGCAAATTTCAAACAACTTAAGTATCAAAGGTTCCCTAAGTTTAAACAAAAGGCAAACCAATTTCATTTGCTCCAGACTGGATATTTGGTAATTAGCTCCTATGGACTCAAATACGAGTAGCCAAATTTCATATGGTTTGAATTTGTAAGCCTTGCAATCAAATCCGCTCACCTTCTTCCAAGGGGTCACACGTTGCGTACTTTGTTTGAGGTAGCGATAGTGACATCGATTTCAGATACCCATTACCAATATTCGTGTCACGGAAAAGGGATCCATTGTGGAGACCACCACTGCCATCTCTCCCACCACCGCTACCACCACAGTACCGCCCTACTCCTCTCCCATTCTGCTCCGTCGTCCTTGCTCTTCGGACCACCAAACAGATAGCCACCAGAAGGACACTGGAGATTACAAAAGAGGCGACAATGATTGCGGCGATGATGTAAAGGTTCATGCTACGACTGCTTGCTGCCCCAACGCTACTGCCACCACGACTTGACGTACGAATGGGGAAGCCAAAGATGTCCCGTTCCACTCGACCCAACGGCTCTGAGTCATCCATATGAACAAGAATTTGTGCCTCGCTGGAACGTCGTGGTGATCCACGATCGGCAGCCTCCAAGAAAAGGAGGTACTGACCCATGTACTGGGTGGAGCTGCTGTAGTCTTTTGCAACCGAGAGTTCTCCGCTTCGAGGGTCCAGTTTGAACAGATCGAATGGATCACCGGCGCGAATGCGGTAAATGAGACTAGCATTCTCTGCAGCATCAGGATCAGAGGCAAGGATCTGAGGAGGAAACAATACTGATTTGCTTTATCTTGTTCATTCTTGTCTCCCTACTCAGTCTTGCCTTTTCTGGCGATAGTTAGAAGTAATTGACCGAAGGAAGCATAAATTATTCACCTGAAGGAAATGTGGTGGCAACCTTGCGTTGCTCCAGGAACACCGCTCCTGTCAAGGATGCATTATGCAACACAACTCTTCTGCACTTAATATAGAGTTTAAGGTAGCTGGATTTCCACTATTGTTTGGCCTTCAAATGGACCCAAGAGTTGTGTCAACGCTATTTGCCAACTTGTAAGTGCCAATTTCGTTAATTAGATTTACCAATATTGCTGTTCTTTATTGTCACGCAGTTTCATAAAAAATGGACGCTTGAGAAGATTTCAGAAAGCACTCGCTGTTAG